TAATCACCAAAAAAAACACGGTCACAGTGAAAAATCCAAGGCTCCTCGGAGTCATCGACCTGTTATTGATCAAATTGAGATTGGCGACCTGGTGTACCTTCATAACGATCGCAATAAAACATGTGCACGGAATCGTTACCTAGTAGTCGCCAAAGATGGCCTCTGGTGCAATGTCCGCAAGTTCGTTGGGACCCAACTGCGGAACACTTCATACTGAGTTAAGCTCTCAGACTGTTTTAAAGTCCCCCTTTGGAACAAGACAAGTGTGCATGAAGAGAACAGTGAGGACACATCTGACATCGATGATGACCCACCTGAGACACTTCACCAGACACTCCGCACATTCCTCTGGAAATATCTACTCCTCCTCTGCTACCGCCATGTTTGATGACAATCACCCAACCGACATCAGTTCCGTGTTGGATCAATCTGACCCCCTATTTGACCCAGGTATACAGTCATCTTCAACTTCAAGGCCATCGCGTCAACGTCAACGACCAAAGCGATTTGATGAATATGTTTTTGACTTTTGAAGTATTGTGTTTGTTTATTAAATGTTATGTTTGTGAGGGGCAGAATAATCCCCATCGACCAGAGGGCAGTCTACCCTATGATGGTTTACTTACCAATTGGTTTCATGGTTAACCAGAATTTGGATCTTTATTACATCATTGTTTACTCACCAAGTTGTTTTTCACGCCTATTTCCTTCATTATGGTTTGTTAAGATAACTTTTATCATGAAGAAAATAAAGACAGTCACGCCAACGCAGGTTTGCTTGGCATGTATTAAAGTAAGCAGAGTTAGCTCCCCTTGGTAGCTCGCCTGTCTTGGGAGGCTTGCTTGGTTTTCGCAGTTCGTTTCGAGTGTTGCCAATAAATATCATCAAGTGTTTACCTGTGTCCTGTCGATGTGTGACAAGTGTACAGTTCCTCCTCACCAAACTGGCGTAGGGTGTCATAGCCAGCCTTCACTGAGGCATCCCAGTCTGGATCATACCAGCCGCAATGCAACACCCTCCAGCCCCTGTGGCACGGCACCACCTCAACCTCTCGGGGTAGAGGAAAAGGCAGGGCATCGGGTGCATAACAGTCCCGCCAAGGCCACTCCAAGGGGGTAACGCCAACCGCAGGGACTTCAAGTGAATAGCCAGACAAGCACGACTGGGACTTCCACCCCCAGCCGTCCAAGTTGTTGAAACTTCAGTACATGGGAGAATGGGTCGTTGCTGGCAGAATTGTGAGATCCTGGGGGATCCATATGTCACCAACATCATCCGACATGAGAACAAGCTGGCACTTATAGACGACCTGCCGCTCACGTCGGTGCCCATAGCCACCTACCCCCCTACTCAACAGCAGCTACCAATCCAGTATATCTCGGCGCTGCTGAACAAGAAAGCGTTCGAGGTTATACACGCCCCAGCCACAAAACCTGGCTTCTATTCACCTATCTCCCTTGTCCCCAAGAAGGACTTAAACACAGGATGATCTACAACCTCGCCGCTTTCAACAAACGCTACCTGGCGCGTCCACCTTATTTCAGGATGACCATCCTCAGGCTACTGCGATCCCGGATCTAGGCACAGGATGTATTCATCAGCTTGGATATCGAGGACGCTTACTGACATGTCCCTATACATCCCGATGACCAGGTCCATTACCAATGGGCGGTTCCCCCATTTGGATTTTCTTTGCCGCAGGGACTCCTGGCTCCTGTACCAATGGGGTGGAAGATCAACCTCAGGAAGTCAGAGTTGACACCCTCAACTCGCCTTCAGTTCATCGGGGACCTCTTCCAGACAGACCTCGATCTCTTCTCTGTACCCAGAGACTGGTGGGAGCTCAGCAGGCGCACTTGACTCCAGCTCTCTACCTACCACGCACTCTGCGCCAATGGCAAGTCCTCCTGGGCCTCCTAACCTCAGCGCAGGACTTGACCTACAGAGGAAGGCTCCAACTGCACCTAGTTCAGATGTTCCATCGTCCTCCCGGATCATCTCAAGCAGTATCTCCGGTGGTGGACGGTGGAATCAAATGTCTTAAGAGGTGTCTCCTTGACAGGACTTACAACCTCTCTGCGCCTATTCGTAGATGCGCCCCTGCAGTGATGGGGCACACACCTAGAGGGACAGGTTTCCTCGGGGCTGTGGTTCGCCGATCAGCGCCTATGGCTTATCAACAACCTCGAACTGGAAGCGCTTATCTTGGCAATCGCTCACTTGAAGCAGGCCCTCAAACACGCCCGGGTCTCCATCTCGACCGACAACATCACTGTCGTATGGTGCCTTCGGAACCAAGGAACAGCTCACTCTACTTCGCTCCTTCCAACAGACGTTCCGATTGTCACCTGGTGGATCATCTGTGGATTCAGTTCCAGGTCCACCACATCCTGGGCTGCTGAAACATCATAGCGGATGCCCTCTCTTGGCCAGGCAAAGTGGCTCCCACAGAGTGGAAACTTCACCCAGATGCCTTCGCTCTTGTTTGTCGAGACCACGGTCTCCCCATCATAGACCTATTCGCCACCAGCTGGAACTACCAGATCCCGACCTACATATCTCCGGTTCCATATCCACTGGCTTGGGCAGTCAACGCTATAAGTGTCCCCTGGGAAGGACTAAAAGCGTACGCTATTCCGCCACCTGTACTCCTTCCCAAAGTCGGCCAGAAGATCGGATCAACACGGTACCTCGATCTGACTTTGGTCGCGCCCTGGTGGCCAGCGAGGGCTTGGTTCGTCGACCTCAGAGAGCTGTCCGACGTCAATCCACTGCCATTCCCAGATTGACCAAATCTGCTGATCCACCCTCACAGCAGACAGCTACACCCAGGACCAGACAGGTTATGTCTTCACGTCTGGTCCATTTACACTGATTGCCAAAGACTACTCGGCCAGAGCGGCTAGGGCTATCGCGATGGCACATCACCCAACCACCAGAAGCCTCTATATGACTAGTGGCAATCCTTCGAGAGCTTTTGCATGGGAAAGCACCAAGACCCCACATCTGCATCGCCTCAATTCCTGGCCGAGTTCATGCTCCATCTGCGTCACAAGTGTAAGCTCAAGGGCAGTACCATCAACTCCGTCCTGTCAGTTCAGTGAAGATCGGCGCATGACGTAAATCCCAGAACTACAGGCTGGAAGACCAAAAGGCGAAATCTCGTACACCAGCTTGGAGCTTGAATGTCATTCACACCTCGCTGAGAGTCCTTCGAGCCACTCGAAGCGACATCATCCTACAATCTGATGAGAAAATGGTCTTCCTACTGGCGCTCGCCACAGCAGCCAGTGTCAGTGAGCCTTGGACGTCACATGCGTCTGCTTTGAGCATGGAGCACTCGGAGCTGTGCATCTTGGACTGTGCTGGGACTGCTTCGCCTAGAATCAATTCCCATGAACGCCAGATAGATCGTTCCTCATCCCACCCCTATCTTCGATTGTGGGCGTGGAAGAGGAACTAGAGCTCCATCTATATCCGGTTAGAGCGCTCCGTTGCTATATCGGACGATCCAAGGAACGCCATAGACAACTACAACGCCTCTTCATTCAGGTATAGAGCTGCAACCTCGCAAGCGGAAGGTAGCCGCAACACGATCGCCCTCTGGCTGCGAGCCTTCATTCTCCAGGCCTACAAGGCCGCGGGATTGGACCCCCAGGCTCCAACAACCCACATGAGACCCGGGCAATCGCCTCCACCATGGCGCTACACAGCAACTGAGCACTTCTTGCATCATGGAGATGTGTCCTGGCGATCAAACACATTCGTCGCCAGTCACGATGTGCTAGGCACATCTTGGTCCGTTAGTAATGCCCAACAGGTTCCTCTACTACACGTCACTGACCCAGCCTCCAAGTCCAGAGCCGGCCTTTCAACCTCCCCTGGAGTAAGCCCTGGACTAAAAGGTTCATGCCCCACATGCATATGGCTCGGTACTCCAGTCTCAACCTAACCGAGAGTTATTGTCAGGCTGCGCAGTACCAGGACACAACGCATACCTGACTCTTCCCTTCCATGTAATGGTCATCCAGGCCAACCATACAGCCGAAGACGGGCTGAGGGAATTGGAGGTTCCCATACATGGAGTGGTCACCCGAAGCCGACCCTACAGCCAAGGATTGGCTAGGGAACAGAGTCTGGAAATAAAAGATGAAAGTCCACATCTGAAGGTATGCCTTCTACCTCCCCACTATGCCTTCCGATGTCCGGACTCCAGAGTAATATGAGGATCCGTGACGTCACTTCCTTTGGTCACGTGGGAGCTGCGTGATAGGGTTGGCCTCTCAGCTAGTTGGAACAACTTCTTCAAGCAGACCTTCACACAGCTCTTTTCTCTGTCAAGAACAAGCAGTGATATGCATTGGGGAGTAATGCAGAATAAGTATACAAATATAAAAAATATCTAGGATTTTACTAGTTCCTTGAGTTACTTCAAATGAAAAGATCTCACAAATCAATGCAGATATTTTATTTTAGGGTTAAACCTTTCATGTACATTTAACTTGTCCAATACATTGCACTAACTATATCTTTATAAAATGTACTTATTGGTTTTGAAGATCATCTTTCATGGTTACAGAGTTAGAAAAAACAATGTAGCAATGAAGAAATCTTTGTACAGAATATTATGTGAAAGTGTTGCAAGTTGGACATGATCTTATATTTAAGAGTATCAGATTACTGGACAATTTGATTTCAACATCCCAGGTATATACAACACTTCCTATAGAGTTAAGAAAGGTTTTTGTAATCAATGTATGTGTTAGTGCCAGTTCACAATTAGGAAGTCCATTCAGATTTTGAATACAGAAAAAAATGTCCATGTTTCAAAGCATGAAGTTAGTAGGTTTTTTTAATGACTGGAACTTTAACATGTGATTACATTGAATACACTGCTGCTTATATAATAAATACTTTGAAGTTAAGAGATAGAAAAAAAATAACAGATCATAGATCAAATATAAATGTGCTCTTGAAACTGGAAATGTGTCTGCTCCAGGTGGAACCGGTCAAATGCCAGTAGCAACAGGTCCTAGATTGCAGCAAGGCATTGTTGCAGGCATGTCATTGCCACCCACTGGACCAGGCTCACAGCAAATGCCAAAATCAAAATCACAACAGCCACCAAGCAAGAAGGTGGGTTTCCATGACATTGCAGTGAATCACATGAAGTAACAATAAGTATTTTATCTTATTTAGCCTGTCATTTGAAATGAAGATGTCAAATCTTCATTTCATGCTGATCACTATGATGGCGAGGATAGTGAGTACAAGACTTTCTGAACATGCATAGTGCCTCGATGGGTGACCATGAAAACATATTGCTCTGACAGGGCTATCAGAGCTGATAAATTCCCCACTCTGAGTGGGTCTGCGCTCATAATATCATAAATAATGATATTTATTCCCTCTGAAGATTCTTTCCAGGAGAAAGTAATATCTAAGGTCAAATTTCCAGTGAAAATATTTGCCATGGATATTTTTTTCACAGCCTGTATCTTACTAACACTGGAATATATTCCCATAGCGTCCATAAACATTTTGACCCAGAAACATTAGTTGTTTACACTTGTTCGAGTCTAGTTGGTTTTATAGTGAGGTCAATGGGAGGTGGTCCTACCTTCAGGTAATGCAGGTAGGTGTTTCATACTCAGACCTTTGATTTTCACTTTGCAAGGGTTTAGGCCCATTTATCAGCAACCTCTACCATTTCTTTAGAAATTGTTTCAACAAAAGGTAACAAAGCTAAGAAAAACTTGCTATTGCATGTATACAGTATTTAGTATCAAAATAAAAAATTACTTCTTTTTCAATAATGAAAATCACAAGACAAGGACAGTTTATGAACACACAATGCCATTTAGAAAGTGCTCAAATGTAACAAATGTTATATTTCTTTCTCAGTTAAGTACAAATTCTCATACTTTTTGTGTATAGTCCCATGCGGGATTCGGACCCATCTGCCAGAGTGAGGCACCTAATCGCCAGCACACAAAGTCAGCGATCTAACCCACTCAGCCACAGAGGCTTCCACAAAAATGTCAGAGGGGTACATAAACTATTTGATCTGGACGACCAGTTATTGGACTTTGATTTTGTTAATATTGGCTTTCTTTCGATGTAAAACAAACAATATTTCCTTTGAATACACTACCTCTATTACATCATAGCCATAAAACCTGTATTTTGGCCATCATCATGCAATAACATCTTTAGATGTTCAACAGACATCCTCATCACATCTACCAGCTAGCCTATTGTTAGGCAAATGGTATCACACTCCCTGTGCTTCTGTGCATGTGTGAGATTGAAAAACATCACTAGGAGTGGTGGGAGTTCAACACTGAAACACTTCCTAATCTAGCACACTGTATGTCATAGGTTTTATAAGTTCACAGATCATTTATGAGTGGTACTTACCTGGTTATCGAGGAGAATAATCACAGGCTCATGGTGCAGATGTCCAGATCATGGGGGACCCCTACCCTACATGTCACCTGCAGAGAGGAAATATCCATGTCAGAGTCTTTGAGATATTATCAGCCTGGAGGCAGACATCCCAGACATGACACCATACGTGCCTCTGGCAACAGGTCACATGACCCACTATCTTCATAAAGTAGCGTTACTTCTACCAGCTGAGATCGTGTACCCACTGCTTACTGACTTGATGAAATACGATAGGCTGTTAATTCATGTGCTGCAGGTGCAGCTAAGCCATCAACTATGGTTACGCAAGACAAACGTTCACATGGAGAGAGCTTTGACGACATACCCTCCACTTAGGTTCAGTTACACAGCAAGCATACATCTGCTGGGACACTAGCCGACAGGTAGAGACAAGACCCACAAGTTCAGTTCCCTGCCTTGCCACCTTTCACAGGAAACATGTCACAAGATGAGCTAATCAGAGCCTTATGAAAGCCATTTTGGAAGACAAGTTGCCATTGCCTCCCATAAAGAAAACAACAAACAAGATGTTTTCACCGCTTCCTACCATAGATGATGATTATTATAGACTTGTCAAGTCACCTAAGCTCAGAATGAATGTACCTATTCCTGAAGTTCAAAGACATGGAAGTTGTCAACAGGCTTATGATGGAGATTGGTTCAATCGTCAGCTGGTTTGAAGCAGGAGTGTGGCATGTCATACCTACCCTTCACAAGTGCTACAGCGACATGCCAGGAGATATGCTGATTGAAATGAGAATCTGAGGATGCAAGAAGATCTTTTATCTTCCCATGTGTGGATGTCAAGCCAGTTTCTACTTAGACAGAGGCATCATCTCCTTGCATAGGTCCATACTCGGATATCAAAGCCCATCAAGAAATCTATACTGTCTCAGCCCATCACATTGCCTTTCTTCTTTGATCAGAGCAGCCAAGATTCACCAGTCAACCTGGCAATGAAGGCTCACAAACGACCGAGCAAGTGGTCCAGAGAACAATAGGATCCACCTTAGAGGAGACATGTTACATAAGGATGAGACTCTTTCAAGACCCTGCATGTCATGCCCCAACACTACCGACAACAGAGACAGTCCTACATTTCAACCATGCCACAGAGGGGAGGCAGACCTACCTCTTAAGAGGCAGTGGAGTGTTGAAGTAACACAAGCTTTGCTTATTGATCTCAAGTTTCGCCTGCCAAACTTTACACCAGCTTCGGGACCAGTGGAAGTACCTCTCATAGATTGAAGCTCATTATGACCAATGTGAAGTTGTGAAGACAGGATATAAGTTGCATTTCCACCAGTGTCCAGCACGTCTCCTGGCCTGTAGGCCGCCAAACTCAGACCCCACCACATGGTTTTATTCATCAGTCTTGTGCCAAAAAGGATTATGTCAGATATGCATATGATAATTGATTGTCCACCTAAGTTCCAAATGGAATTGGTCAAGAAACTAAGAACTGCTCTCAGGATGAGACATGTCAGAGATAAAGCCTGTACATGACATCATATAATTTGGGGCCAGATTCCAGCTGCAAAAGGGTATCTAAGGCCCTCAAGGGGAACGATACCTATAATAAAGGGACAAGATTTCGGAAACTCATGACATCTAGAGGCATTAGGAAAACCTCCTTCAAGCATGTTGAACGAACTATATCAGTGGCTGGATCATCTCAATGTAACATCATTCCCCTAATGTTCCCCTCGCCAGAACATCATCTCTACGTAGATACCTCCATAGATGGATGGAGCTACACTCAAAGGGGGATGATCAGATCAAGAAAAAGAGTTTCACAACAACTTTTTGGAGTTGATGGCAATATCCAAAGCGATCAAGTCATAGAGACATGGTTTAAGACACTCGGCAGTTCTGGTTGTGACGGACTATACTACAGAGACGAGAGGAACAAGATCAGCCTGCACATATATTTGCCTTGGCAGAATCAGCTGCAGGTCGGAAGCTCATAAAATTTGAGGGAAGCTCAACATTACCAGACTGTCTTTTCCAGAAGAACAAGATATTGGCAACAGAAAGGTCCCTGCCTCCCGAAGTATTCAAATGGATAACATCAACTTGGGACACTCGTTGTCTCAATCTATTCACCACTTGCCTCAGCAACAGGGTTCCCTGTATACGTCAGCTCAGTACCAGACCCACAGGCACTACAGGTGGACCATCCTGAGGAAGGTGGAGGACATGGAATGCTTCGTGATCCTCATAGCCCCAGCTTGGGCAAATTGGGCATGGTTTCCCAGACTGTTTACTCTACTCATGGAAGAACCACTCAGACTACCAGAGCGTCCCTATGTTCTACGCCAGCCCAGTTCAGGCATAATTTTCAACAGCCTCCACAATCATCACCTACACATTTGGAAACTTATGACGGCAAAGATGCAGGTTTCCAGGTTCTCCAAGTCTGCTTTGTGGCAAGATCTTGGAGACCTTCTTCATCTGCCATTTATGACAATAGATGGAACAAGTTCTACCAGTGGTGGAGAGAAGGATGATTGAGAAACGTAGATGTCAGGATCCAATAAAGGGTTATAGTTCAAGTTAAACCTTAATACAGCAGCATGATGGATGGATGAAATCATTTCTGCATGGACTGGTCAAACAGTTCTAACTTTCAAGTATGGGCCATAACAAAGTGAACTTGTCAATGTTGTTCATTGCAAGTGTATTTGGTCTGTTGAAGATGATAGGGGTCCAAATGGAAACAGAAATGGAAAAGAACGAGTACCTTCAGAGAAAACTACTCCCCAAGAAATTCATGACCGCATGTCACAAGTGTATGGGTGTAAGTGCTCTAACTATTCCACTGTTAAACATTGGTGAGCTATGTTTAAGACAGGTCTAAGCCATTGATCCACTGAAATAATTGTTCATGAACATCTACAGATGAATCAGATATCTGCTTGTTGGGTGCAAAAGTTTCTTAATTCTGATCTTAAGGGGAAAAAAACTGACATTACCAGAGAAAATGAGAAGTGAGGAGGATTACATCAAATTCAAAACGAGATTAGTTATGGGTGAATAAATATTGGACTACCAGTATGATCCCGAATCAAAATGTCAATCCATGAAATGGCACCATTCCACTTCTCCTGCATCAAAGAAATTCAAGTCTTCAAGATCATTGAGGTAATTATGGCCACTGTATTCAGGGATGCAAAGGGCGTGATCCTTGTTGATTACTTAGAAAGTAAAAAGACGATTACCAGTGCCTACTATGCTGATTTGTTTCATCGTGTTTTTCAGGGTGGCTTCAGAAAACTACTTCCTGACTGGAATTGAAAAGCTTCACTATCTCTATGAGAAGTGTATTAAAAAGCAGGGAGATTATGTTGAAAAATAAAATTAAAAACACTTTCAAAAACACTTGGTTTTGAACATAGAACTTTTTGACCAGCCCTCGTACTAGAGGACTTCAGGACTGTTCCCTGAATTGGAATGTATCCTTTGTATTGTCGGCCTTAATGGAAGCACCATATGAGCCTCTGACACAAGCAACCCTACTGCAGACATCTAGGAAGACTGCCCTCCCCCAAGCTATTGCTACTGCTGCCAGAGTGTCAGAGATACATACACTAGACTTCTCTAAAACTCACTCAGAATGCTGCCAAAATTTATCAAAAAGGACCAACCCGAGGTGCCTGGACTGCTAGGCCATAGACACTAACCAATTCCTGCATTGAACAAGACTGTGGATCATCCTGACAGGCTCTTGTGTCCAGTTTGAGCACTGAAACATTACCTAACAGCAACACAACCACATAGAAGACACAGGAAACAACTATTCATCTCCTGCAAGACATCACAAAGGTCACAATTGAAGGATGGCTGAAGACTACTATTTCTGACAGATACCGCCCTGCACAACTCTCCATGCCAGTGTTGTGTAGCTGCAAACCCCATAAGATAACCTTATCAACCAGCTTAGCATCATGGAAATCAGTCTCAGTTGAACAAGTCATCATCTCCAGCTGTCAGTTGAAGCCCCACAATACATCCACAAAGTCTTAATTGACCAGATCTTGAGGTGCTATATACTCTGGCTCCTTTAGTGGCAGTCCAGATCATGTAGTGTCTCAGTAGCTCAGATTCTTTTTCTTCTGAGAAGGAGGGTGTGTGGGTAGCGTGGATTCCAGCAACTTAAACCTTGGAAGATAAGTTAGACCTTTTTTAGATGGTTTGCCTAATAACACTTTACAGGTTGTAAGATAGCTGGCAGTGTAGAGGACTTCTGTTGAAAATCTTAAGATATTTGCTGTGTGATGACAGACAATATACAGGAGGTAGTATTCTTTGAATTATTCACTATGATAACTGTTGTTTGATGAACAAGGATAACAACTAATTAGACACTAATTGTGTTATTGATGATGCTGTTATTGGTAGGCTTGGCTGCTGTCTAGGCTTATTCGGGTGAGTCATACTGCACTGCTGAACCAATGCCCATGACATTATGTAGTCAAGTCCACATCCTTAGGGCGGGTTTTAGTGTCTTATTTTATTGTCTCTTTTACTTCCAGGCCCAGAAATCTGACATGTCTGCTTGGTTCAATCTCTTTGCTGATCTTGACCCTCTTTCTGACCCTGATGCTGTTGGTAGGCCAGATAAAGAGAGCAATGCAGCATAAATGTGATCTGAAAATGAGAGCAGCATATTTGACCTTGATCCTGATACTGAAGACTGACAGAGACAAGACTGTAACCAGGCATGACTCCTATCTGTTTACTCTAGATACAAGATATAAGTTTTGTGGACAATATGTTTTCGTCATGTAGCATGGTAAATCTCTGAAATAGACAAGTAATGTATGATACAAGCTGATGTTTAATGTATGAAATTGTGTAAGTTTGGATCCTTGTCTTCAGTTAGAATTGTACCCATTCCTTCAAAGGTTGTATATTTGCTGCAAATATATGTTTATTTTATCTTAATGATGTTTGAGAAACCCAAGTCTGAACATTCCAAGTGTAGTTATATCACCATGTTTTTTCTTCAGGCTATGAGTTAAACATGATATCACAGGAAGAAAGTCTGTTGACCAGTTTGAGCAGCATGACCATAGCAACCTATTCTCAAGTAAAATACAATTAGAATGTGCCTCATGCAATACTGACACACAAGTCAGAGGTTTACTGTTTCCTATGTATCCTGCCTACATGGCCATGGCCTTAGCAGGGTTTCCCCTGACGCAGAATTCTTGCGTATATGACTCTCAATTAAGGAAAAATATGTCCAGAAATAAATGACTGCGTCATGACTGACGCAATTTCAAAATATCTATGTTGTTGTTTACCAGCTTTGGAATGAAAATATTACAACTACTCACCTGAACTTAATTTATAAACATTTTCTAAGGACAATATATGCAAACATCTTAAAATTTACGTCTAGTTTTTAATTAATCGTCGTTTTTAGAAGTAACATTACTTCGCATTACCACTGCCATGGGCTAATTTGCAGAGCCTGTCACATGACTAGACTTTTCTCTCGTTTTAAAACAAACGCTAAAATCAGAACAGCCGGGGGCTTTACATATTGTTTTGCATAATTATATAGATATGCTACTAAAACTGTGCGACTGTGAGGTACACGACAAAATATATATAAGTGAACGTAACTCTCACACTCCGTGTGGCTTCGATGACAGCATGTGATGTAAACAAAGGAAAACTTCGCAAATGGACAAGGTTTTTCACGTTTCGGCATATTTTCTCACTAAAAATTAACCATGACATATGTTTATCTAGATGTGTAGACTCGTAAAAAATGAAACAGAAGAAAAATATTATCATTGTAACTTTGTTGCGGTGAATAATATTATTTGGCGCGGTCACAGTATGTGGTTAAGCGGAACCTATGGAACAGGTGTCGGAAGTTGTAAGTATCGGAGGGACACATGTTTTTGCCGAAATTTAGGTAAACATTATTGAACGAAATTTTAAATAAAATTAATAAAATAGATGACAAACATAAGGTCAGATATACAGAGAACACATTTTTATTACCAGATAGTGTAACAACAGGATTAACTTGCATAATTCAATTCGGATTTGTTATGCTATTTCCAGTGACGGATCATGACAGCCTGAAATGAGACTGAAGAAAAGTCTCTGCGTATTATACACAAGAGATATTTTTTTTCAGGATTTAATTGCCCATAATTAGGGGTACATATTATACACGAATAGATATGGTATATACGAAATGTAAAGCTTTGGGCGTGTTTGTTGTTGCTAATAAATTGTATTCAACCAGAAAATATTACGAGTGTTCACAATTCTTCAGTTCAACTTCACTGTTGATAGATAATACAAGATAACTAGATAAAACATGTAAATGAGTTAGAGGTATTAAATTATAATCTGACATGAAATGTATTTTAATATCCATCCATGATTAAAAATTATGTCTCACAGTTGAGACTGATGTTATTTATTCATCCTGTATTAGTGTCACTGTAAATTGTTTCATGAGCTGTGAAGTAATTAAAGATTGTGAAAAAATAAAACCAACAAACTGTGTTTTTCATTCATATATCCTTTATTTCTCTGTAGTACAATCAGCTTAGAACATTAATTAGCACTTGTTAACTTAAACTAAAGACATATTATATTTAAAAGATACTTAACTTAACTAAAAGTGTAACATTAACAGTGAACACTTTAAATTTCATTAATCATACAATAAAACATTTGACTCTCAAAAAATATTTTTGACTCCCAAAAATTCATAGGCTGAGTAAAGGTGATTCTCAGATATGGGAGTCTAGGGGGAACCCTGCCTTAGGTTGTGCAGCTGGTTAGGCATATGTCCTAATCACTAATGAAACCTTCATAAGAATATTTTAAACGCAGTTCAGATTCAGATCTATGATTTTAGACTTACCTTGTACAGTTGTGACTGTCCAGAAGACTGCTGCAAGCCAACCAATAGCCAGAGGAAAACCATTGTGTGATATTTCCATGTTTAAACTAATGTATGTTTTCTTGACAGTGGTCAGGGAAGGGATACAGCTAGTCTATAAGATGTCTATTTATAGCAAGAACTGATATTTTTCCTACAATTTAGGTTTTGGACTTGAAGATGATGGATAAGCATCTTGTTCTCTGCTCGGTAACCGTGGTTATGATGAATGCTCTCAGTGGAAGTATTTTTGTATATCTGTGGACCTGTCTTGCAATGATTTATGTACCTCACAGTTTGTTATCAGTTCAATTGTTACAGCATTCTTGGCATAGGAATCATTGTTTCTTTTGGGTCATTATTGTATGAATGGTTTCACAAGTATGGCTTGATCAGAGTTATGGACAAGAACTTTCACTTCTTTACATTTGTGAACTTAATATTTTAATGTGTTACTTGAATTAATGTAGTAAATTTTGAACATATATTCCCCATGTTCAAAATCATATACTTGCTGTCAGGAACATTTACTAATTCCACCGATAACTCCACAACATGAATATGGCAAGATTTTTTTGTCTTTCTATCACTTCAATCAAAGGTTGATGTGAGCTAATATTATGGTGTTGTGTATCCATCCATCTTTTATACATATTTTGATTTTTGACTCCTCTGAAACAAGGCCAATGAAGCTGAAAGTTAACAATAACGATCTAACCAATCGTATCTCCCAATAAGCTTTCTTAGAATGTTCTTCTGACACTTATCAGGGCCACATGGCAAAAAGCCATTTCTTATAAATTTTACTCTCTTAGGACCTGTAATTATTGTTTTTTGACCTTTAATAGTTAGAATTTGATATATAATGTTGCAAATATGACAAAGTAAGAGAGCTACAGAACCTCAGGGCTGTGTGTTGTTGGTACTTCATTAGGAATGATGGCATTGACTTTACCTGATGTAAATAACAGTTGACTTGGCATCCTCCAGGAAAGTAAGCCTGAATCAGTGGTATTGTTACAGGAGAGAATCCATATCCTCCCAGAGGCTCTGGGACAAAGAATGTGACATCAGTTAGAGTATGGTTGACCTGACACTTCAAGCTCTCATACTCAATGGTGGTGTTGTATGAGTAGCATTTGAACAGACTTTCATTCCCACTTGTATCAATGATAATTATTACCAGCTGGCTGGACTGGCCTCGCCATTCTGGCTCATCATGACCTTATATCCTGTTTCTATGTCTGTTCTTCTGGCATCAGTCTGTTTTCAGTTATCTTCATAAATTTGTACTCTACTAGTACTACACATACCGTATTCGACGTAAAAAGCACCCAGGGCGCACTCAAGATTAAAGATAGGGGGCTCTTATTAGAATATAATTTTGGTGAAAGGGTTGAAAAATCGTAAATTTCGTGGTTTATTCTGACAGCCAGAAATGATACAAAAGAAAAGTCTGTGCGTGTTATACCCGACATAAATTTTTCAAGAATTTAATTGCCTGTCATTAAGGGTGCATATAACACACGAGTGCGCATTATACACGAATAAATAAGTCTTGTGTACATGGATCAATATGATAAGCCCATATATCAGCAAATATTGCCCTGGGCGCTTATTGGAGCGGGGCACTTATTACGTCGAATACGGTATCTTTGTCATATTTACCAAACACATTCTCCCTTACTAAAACAAGTTTTCATTTGGAAATATATTAAAATACCTGCCACAACAGCACACTTTAGTGAAAAAAGCATTTTGTTAGAGGGTGGACTCTTTCTAAACCAACAAATGACATATTAAACATGTCAGCTGGAGTTTCTGTTCTATTGTGAGCTCTAACGTTGCACGCTTGGCTGGTCCAGATTAAAATACAATTTGATTGAGGAGGCGCATTTTGTGTGTAAATTGATAACTTGGACTGACAAACAGTGACAGAATCCTGTGTAGACAAAGGCTGGATTACGCAGAGATTATATAATGACATTATAACTACAATCTGCCAGAGCCTAGATTTTCAAAACAATCTGAGCCCTAAACTTATTGTAAAGTTATCGTTAGGAAATCGTAAACTGTCGTAGAATGTTGTAAATCTAAGGCAGCTCCTTACCTGTCATAAGTATATTTTGTCTTCATCCAAGGTGGTGGTATACTTTTCCATAGATATTTTACAAACAAGTAATCTGCTTTACGGTCAAACTTTGTGATTCAAATTAAAGGGGCACTGATCTAAAGCAATTCCCCGGGACTGGTTGTTGCCTTTGTTACTTTTTTTCCCAGTGAGTGCCTGGATGATATAGCAGAAACCTAGACTAGGTTGCGACTTGTGCAGCGCAATTCGTAAGCGCATTTGTCATTTTTAGTAAGTTTTGGTAAGTCACTTGCTTGGTGATTGTGCAATTTTCGTTTACACTATTTTGACTTGCAACACAAAAGTAAATATTTCTCGTGAGCATTGCTTATTTTATCATGTTTATATTTTTACAGTCAAAATTTGCAAAATTTTCACTGAGGAAATTTATTAAACGCCTGAATATTCAGTTATTTTACAAATTGACTGAAAAATATGTCCATCTGTATTATTATGACAACGAATTCCAAACATTTATATGTTTAACATCATCATCAAGAGACTGAAAATGTTACTATGAAAAGTACATTTCTATATTGTTTGGCTTCTAATCCTACATAATAAGGGGCTGTCGGGTAGCCTAGTGATAAAAGCATTCACTCGTCATGCCGAAGACCCGGGTTCAATTCCCGACATGGGTACACTGTGTGAAGCCCATTTCTGGTGTCCAACGCCGTGATATTGCTGGAATATTGCTGAAAGCAACGTAAAACCATACTGACTCACTCCTATATAATAATCTATTGTTATGTATTTAGGCCCTTTTGATCATCTTAATCAATCTTAGTCAATCTGTTAAAGAAATGGACAGATTTTTCAGTCAAAATGACTAAAATATTTACACATTTTATAAATTGCCTGAGAGAATCACATTTTACAAATTGACTGTAATATATAAACGCTTACAAAGGAAAAGACTTGTGAAAACAACGTCTATCGCGCATCGAAGAATTTTCCAACCAAGACGTAGAGGAACAAGAATGAATCTGTCCAGTGCTACAGCAAATGAAGGAAAACAAAATGCAAATATCATATTTACAACCTACCAAATTTATGTGTATAATGTTAGGCAGCTTCCTTGTTCGAGGAATGTATCCATGAATATCCACACAAAGGAACAATATCCCACACGTCTGCAGCTGTACAAAGAAACTTATTCGTTGTAATGTGTCTCTGTAACAATCAAATATTTTAAAATATATATATTGTTTCGGGATATTATAACCCGTGTTCGTTTCTCAACTGATCACTTAGGTTGTTTCAGGTGTTTCACATAGGTGTCAAGTCTCAAAGGTCGGCTGAGAAAGCCCACGTGACAACTATTTTCATAACGTGCACGGTTCCTAAAAAATCCATTGAGTAAGAAACCAATGAGCAATCAATCAACGTATTATCGGTTAACCCTTTAAACAAAGGCACTTCACGCCATGACATGAGTGTATTCCTTTTGTTTTAGTAAACCTAGACATGTAAACACCCACTTTTGACATATCCACTGTGCAAGATAACAGGGATTAATCAATCAATGTATTTTCTGTTAATCCTTTGATGACTAGGAACGATCCTTTGATTTACAAAAAAGTAAATCAACTGATCATTCATCTCTTGCTTGGCTGCCATATGCATATTACATAACACACTTTTCACCTCACTTCAAACCTGGATTTAGATTGAATAATTGCCTCAGTCTCAATAAATGCCAAATGGGAACCTTTGTCAGGTATTCTGAGTGATGCTACCACTCATTATACCTGTAATAAATTCATTAACTGAGAATCAAGTGAATGACGACAAATACACATGTGTAGGGTTATACCGGAAAACGTGGATGACAACAAGGGAGTAGTAATCGTATTATCGACGCAATCCAAAAATCCGAAATTTCTTTCACTGCATGGATAATTTTTTTTATTATTAAACTATAACAATCAGGGGTATTTCCAAATGACGACGTCCGATGAGCTCGGCCGTTCTTTTTGTCTGTTTGTTTAGGCTGAAGAAATTAATTAACATGCGCCCTTTGTTGAAACCTTTATAGATCACGGTTAACCAATCAGTGTTCAAAAATGAATATAACAAATATTGCCTCCAAGTCCTTGCAGACGGTAGCCCAGTCTCTTGTCAGGCTCAGTTGCGTTACGTATCATCCGGGTACTCATGGGGAAAAAACACTAACAAAGGCAACAAACAGTCCCGTGGAATTGCTTTAGGTCAGTGCCCCTTTAATGCTTTAAAAACACGAAGAACGCAACTAAGATTTCACAACAGAACAGCAACCATGGTCAGATTACCACTATTGACGCCTTGAAATGAACTTTACTTGACAGAGAATGGATACATGTATCATAAATGCCATACTTTGACTCGTTAAAAGTCATATTTGTTATAGTTTGATGATTCTCTGTCAACACGTAGTTCTCGCGATCACGTGCACTGGAGCCTCGATGGTGACTGGTCAAACTGGTTCCATGTGAAAATAATAACCGGCAATATCGATCAGCTGCTTCACATAGGGTTATAATTATTTTAAATATATTTAGTAAAAGCTGCAGCTAAAATAGCAAGATATTGGAATATATTATTCCTGATAAAAAAATAGTTTCAGATACAATTTTTGCCCATCCTTGCATTAAAATCCTGTAAAGTTATATCATTGGGTGTGTCTTGACCGAATCACCGGTAGATTCCAAGAAAACGTGTACAGCTGATTGTTGTTTCCTGCTAAGTTTACGAGAAAATGCACAAGGTAATCTTAATCCATGGATGTAAAACAATGCCTAGAAGAACAAAAAATACAATTTAATTGGCTAATCATTGTTTAGTGATGTTTTATCTCAAATTTCAACTTTGTATTGACCAAGTTTAATTCATATAATCTGTTCCGTTTCCCTCAATTCACTGAAGGGCTACGATGTAATTATTTTTTTCTGCGGAAGACAAACACATTTTTATTGCAAATGTAGAGATTTGGTATGCACTAGTGATGTGCTTTATTCCGATTCACTTTAGGTGTCAGGTGATTTTTTTATCTCTTTTTTCAAATTTGTAGTGACCAAGTTTCTCATCACCTGTTTGTTTACAGGAATTCACTGAAGGGGTATTGTGTAATTTTTTACTGCGCATACTATTCGAATTTTCTTTTTCCAAAATACTGAATCCGCTAGAGGGTGGTGCGCATAAAACTCTGGTGCGCACTATACTCAAGAAAATACGCTAGTTAGCCACATGACAATGGAGTCGATAGCCAATCTCATTAGAATCAGATCTTAGCTCTCGCTGCCGCTAAACAAAGATCTGAGGACATCCCATTACGGGTCACGTCAGACCGACCTTTCGCGAAGTCTGACTGACCAATGGAATTACTGACAAGAAGTCGACATTTGACAATCAGAATGCAGCTTTCTCGTGCTTTACGGCACTAATTTCAAATTTGCGACTATGCTTCGAAACATATTCTGACAAATTCTCGCTTAAAAGTTTGAAACCTGAACAAAAGAACATTCTCGAATGGCTAATATATGGTCTAGATTGTATAGATTCAGTCGTTAAGCCCGTAACTATCGTTCGGAATACCCCGTTTGAAAGTTTTCGAGGCTGCATGATGAGAAATCACATTCCCACTGTCACTTTCATGATCTGGTAAGCGACACTCTGATTAGTCGCATGAAAGGTCGTTCTGACGTGACGCCTTATGGGATGTCCTCAGGTCTTTGTTTAGCATTAGCGAGAACTAAGATCTGATTTTAATGAGATTGGTCGATAGCTAGCAATACATTTCTGTCCGAATCTATGCTGAAGTAGGGTGAAACAAAATACCTTTTCGATAATCTGGCAATGATGTAATATAAAGTGTAAGGAGGCTATAGTAATGACCATGACCTTGTAGAAAACTCAGGGGCAGCTAATCTCAGTCCATACTGCAAGCTCCTTCCCAGCGCGTGACACCTTCGTTACACTCTTGGTCACATCGCTGCCACCAGTGTGGGCGCGGCCATTACAAGAATCTTGCCCTCTGAGTGAGTTAGATTTAACGCCGTTTTTAACAGTATTCCAGTTATTTCGCAGCGTGTCAGCTTAATGTGGGAGGAAAGACCGAAGTGATGCAGGTCTCAGACGTTTACCACTTCGGTGAAACCAACGAGCACGGGTATGGTGCTGACAAACCTAGAAACATAATCTAGGCGAACCGGGATTCGAACCAACAATCATAGGTGGCCCAGTCGTCATAGGCAACGCGATTTGCTGTGCAGAGTTGCGTCTCTTTTGATTGTAGGTTCGAATCCCGGTTCCCCCCGATTATGTTTCTAGGTTTGTCAGCACCATCCCCGTGCTCATGGGTTT